GCCGAGACAGTGGCTTCCCTGTGCACGTGTACACACACCCTCCATGCACACAGAGCTCCAGGACAAGCAGCCCAGGCAGAGCCACAGTGACTTTCTCTGTGGACGGACAGTACATGAGAACCCCATACGGGGCTCATGTCCAAGCAGAAACACCTCCTGCAGCCTTGCCTCTCATGGGCACAGCAGGAGGGTCCTGGGAGGTCCCCCACCAGAGGCCTGGGTACGCCAGGTGTGTGGCCATGGCCCGTAGTGGCCTCACCAGTTGGCCTTCACTGCCTTGATGTCACTCATGAGGTTCTGGGCCAGGCAGATGCCAAAGATCTGTAAGACAGAGGGCAGGTGAGGGAGAGGCCACCAGCAAGGCCAAGGTGGGCCCTAGGCAAGGGGAGGGACATGCATGGCAGTACCTGGAGGAGGGCGATGCCCACAAAGACCCCGGCCACAACAACCAGGTTGTCCTGCAGCCACTTCTCAAATTGGCCCACACAGCCTTTGGTGTGGATGAAGCCCTGCTGCTCCAGCTCCTAGGGACACACAGGCACCAGCTCAGCCTGCCTGCCACTGCAGACCCGCCTGCCACCACAGGCCTCATCTCACACCTCCTCTGGCTTGCCAAGCCCATCTCTGCCCCAGGGCCCCACACCTGCAGCACCTGCTCCCTGGTGCTCTACCACAGGGCCATTGCACAGCTGGCTCCTGCTCATAGACACCCCCTCCCCTGAGAGGTCTTCTCTAACCACCCAGCCCCTGTCCCATCACCTCCCTTTTTTATTTTCTTCCTGCTCTCAGCAGAAATTGTCACATGACTGTCATATTTATCTGTCTAGGGGATTAGTGTGTTTCTCCCTCTGTTCCTTGAGAGCAGAGAGACTGTCTCATTAGCACTGGATCCCCAACATCCAGGGCAATGCCAGGCACAAGGTGGGTGCTCAACGAAGAGCTGGAATGAGCAAACCCACATATGCACCCAAGCCCACGGGTCCCCTCCCCCATGCCCAGCCCCGGGTGTCGGAGTGGGTTCCTGAGACTCAGCACTACCCCCCATCCCCCCCACAGAGCACCTGCGGCCTTTTGGAGGAGATTATGGGAGGCGGCCCCCTTCCCATCCCAGTGTCCTCAACTGCCCCCAGCCTTGTCTCTACCCCTCTCACCAGTTTGAGCCGGACATCATAGCCACACTGGGTGTTGAGGACATCTTCCTGAGGGGAAACAGGCCAATTAGCGACTTGGTGAGGGGCTCCCATGGGCCTGTGGTGCCTGGGCACTGCAACGACTTTTCCTTCTCAGGGAAGCAGATAAAAGCACAGATTCTGCCCCGGCCGTCGCCATCAAGTGAGGCTCCCTGGGGCCCGTGAGCCTCTTCCCCAGACACCAGGGTGCATGGCTGCAAATGCCAGCCTGGACCTGCCTTCTGTTTAGGAATCCTGCCTGCTCACGTTTTGTAAGAATGGGGAGAAACTTAGCCCTCTCTGTCCCAGACAAATTGGGACAGGAGGGATGTCGCTGTGAGGAATTTCTGCCCTGATGAAAGCCATAAAGGGGTCAGGATGCCTCATCGCCTGCCACTCCAGCATGGCTGGCTGTGGCCTGGGCAACCCCTGCCACACCCACCAGCGACAAATAGTGATGCCATCTCCCAGCCAATCTTCAAGCCGGCCAGGAGCAGACACTGCCCGGAGCCACATTTAGCTGGAAATACAAGGTGCAGGGAAGGCCTCTGGGTCAGTCCTATCCTCTGGTGTCCTGCCATTTCCATCTCGTTCCAATCAAAGAGACAGGTCTTGCTGGAGAGGAAAAGCAGCCCCAACTCCAGCAGACCTCAGTGCCACCCACAGACACAAGCTTTCCGTGTAAAATCACTTCCCCCAACATCCACAACCCCAGAGCAGGGCAGAGCCCAGTGGGGCCCTGTGGTGGGCTGTCCCATATGGGGTCTGCACACTGCAACACCCCCACCCCTCCTCACCCGCCCCACTCACCGCAGGGTCCCTGACACAGCAGGAGAAGGGCACCCCACAGCGCTCCCGGCTCGGGTTCAAGTCAGTGCAGTTGAAGTAGATATTGAGGTTCCAGTCATTGGGCCCTCGGGCTCCACAGCAAGACCACTAGGGAGCAGGAGAGAGCCCCAGGTGAGCCAGGCCCACCCCAGGAGCCTCACCCTGCTTGGGAACAAGCCCAAGTTGCAGGGAGACAGGGCTGTCTAGGAGGGTACCCAGAGACAGCCAGGTGGGCGGGCACCTCCCCACCCCGCACAGCAAACAGGCGGGGCCTGGGACGGGGGAGGGCAAGGTGGGTGGGAGAGGGGTCAAAGAGTACTAGAACTCTAGGCTCCTGCCAGGCTGGCAGAAGCAGGGGGGGTGCAGGGAAGGGGGTCCTGAGCTTGCCTCCCAAACCCAAGAGAGGCTCGAGATAGGGAGGCAGGAGGGTGAGGATCCTGACTCGAGGACTATGGCTTCCTCTGGACCTCACTGCAGGGCAGGTGTTAGACCAAGTCCCATGGGGACAGAGGCACCACTGAACCCCATGTCTGCGCTGGGTCTCCCCACACTTGCCCTGGAGATTCTACAAAGCCCTTCTCTCTTCTTCAGTGCAGGGACAGGAGGGGAATCCTGCCATCTCAAAGCCATCCCTTCCCACTTCCTAAGTACCTGCCCGCTTCATCCCGCAGCCCCATCGCCTGCACAGATCACTCGGCACTGCTTCCTGGTAGGGCAACGGCAAGCGTGGGGTCTGCCATAAAGCAGGGCAACAGTGATCGAGCAGCGGGCGGCTCTAACGGACTGAGCCCCGCAGGCAGCCCGCAAGCCGGCCCTCCAGGCTGGGGGAGCTCGAGGGCAGTCGCAGCGGCAGACACAGGCAGGCCCGGTGGCCGAACCAGAGAGTGAGACACGGCCAGCCGCGGGCTGCGTGCATGGCTCCCAGAGCACAGCCCGGCCTCACCGGCCCCCTCTCACCTGCTCGGTGCCTGCTCTTCCTGCTGGACAATTCTCCCCTCTCTTCACGTCTCTGCTTTTTCTCCTCCTTTTGGAGACATCAAGGTCGTCCCTCGGGGGCACTCCTCTCCTCCACCCTTCTGCATCTCTGCCCTTACCACAATTTCTAATTTTACACACATGCATGCGCACGCACGTGCACACACGACTGTTTATTTATCCTGCTTGTTTATCATCCATCTCTTCCCCTGACTGCCATCCTCATGAGGACAGGTCACAGTTTTTTTCACCACTGAGTCCCCAGTACCTAGCCCAGGGCCTGGCACATGGTAGGCCCGTCACGATTGTGTTGAATAATAAATGAGTCACATTGTAACCCCCTAGCTATATGTCAGCCTCTGCCCGGGGTTGGAGCTCCCTTGAGGAGGCACCAGCTCTAGTTTATCTGTGGACCTGAGGGCTGACTCTTTGTGGTGGATGTCACCAAAGACATGTGACCGTGTAAGCAGGTGTGATTGGGTGACTGTGTGTGGCTGTGTGTGGTGTGAGTGAATGTGAGTGGGCGAGAACACGCAGGTGGGAGGCGTCTAGGTTTTGTGAACTGTTTTCTGGCTGCTTCTTCACAGGGTTAGGTTTGCAAGCTTGAGGGCACAGCTTCTGTGGGGGTCTCAAACTGTAGGATGTTCAGTGGTCACACAGATGAGAGAAGAGGGCCAACGGTGTAAAAAATAGAGTGTTGGGGACAGTGGCAAACAGAGAGCCCCTCTACCAGTAAAGGGGGCAGCAGCGATGTAGCCCTCTGTATCTAGCCGATACTGCCCCGGGCCTAGTAGAAGGGGAAACCTACATTTTTATGTCAAATTTCCTGTTTAAGCATGTCATAAGCCCTGGCCTGGGAGCTGACAGTTTGGAGTCTCTGGCTTCCGTTTCCCAAACCTGTCTCGCTATGAGGCTAGGCACATGGGGACCGGAAGGCCGGCTTGTCCTCAAACAGGGACACTCCTGGATATCTTCCCTGGGCCTGCTGGCCTGATGGGTGAGGGGATGGTCCCAGCACACAGAGAAATTGCTCCTTCACTCATGTGTGTGAGGCACCTCCTGCAGGTAGCCTGTGCTGTACACCAGACTCACGTATTCCTGAGCAAAGTCGATGAGGTTCTGGAGGTCTATGTCGTCCCGGTAGGCCTTGACATTGTTGTTGATGAAGAGGTTGAGCTGGTCCCGGATCCAGTCCTTGAAGATAAAGGCCAGGATCCCTGTCGCCAGCTCCAGGAAGAAGATGAGACCGAGGAACACGGAAAACTGGGGTTGGGGACAGACAGACAGTGTGGGCAGAAGACACAGGGCTCTGGTGACACCCTGGGAGTGCCACAAAGAAAAGCTCCATCCCTACCCTGACCCAAGGGAGCCCAGAGTCCCCAGCTTCTTATCTTGGTATTATGTTTTGATGGTAAAAGACAGCGCTGTTCTTACCTATCCATCCATTCCCCTGCGTCTGGTAATCACACCTGCTTTCTCTGATAAACTACCCTCCACACATATCTTCAGTTTCCACAGCTGGACTGGAGTCATCTCCACCCCTCGCCCCATTCCCAGGTACAGGACTGGGCATGTGCTACCAGCCCACCAATCAGAGCACTCCCTCCTATCCCGACACACAGGGATGGTCCACAGACAGCCAATCAGAGGCAAGGAGAGGCAGTTAAAGCACTTTGGGAGCACAGCGGGGAAGAGAGCACTTTGGATTTCAGTAGGAGTTGTTGGGAGGGCAGGGTGAAGCCGGCATCCTTCCACACCCTGGGGAGTGCAGCCAACCCAGGGAGAGGGGGGTGGGCAGAGCTGAGAAACAGAGAGTGACCAGGTCAAGTGACACTGTGACGACCCCTGTGTCCAAATGTGCCTACGGCCAGCACACCCCTAGGCTTTTCTTACAAGAGCCACTAATACCCTTTTATGCTTAGGCCACTGGGTTTTGTTCACTTATGACAGAAAAGATCCTAATAAATATAGATAGTATGAATCTAATGATTATTATTATCATGATAGCATAATAATAAAACCACCCATTACTAAGCACTAGCTGTCCTGTAAGAACTGGATAGAAGGAGGCTGGGGTTCCCCATGGACCTCAGGAGCTGGCGGGGGGCGGTACTCACAAACTTGAGCAGGAAGGTGTTCTCCCGGAGGGCCCCGACGCAGCCAGCAAAGCCCAGCACCGACATCACGCCTCCAACCACCACAAACAGCCACACAGGATCAAGGCCTCCCAGATCTGTCAGCGCTGAGATGTTGGAGAGGACACCCTGTACCAGGGCAGCAGAGGCAGGTGTAGGGGCTGACCTTTCCACCGCCTCGTCCCACAGACAGCCCCACGTCCTACCCCGCTGCCTTACCTTCTCACCCCAGGCCCAGAGGCCGATGGCCAGTAACAGGGCGCCCAGCACCTGCAAGGGCAGCAGCAAAGAGCTCAGGGCTGGGCACCAGCACCAGGACCCTCGCTCATCCTTCCCCAGCACTCAGGGCCTTCAGGAAGCCACGGGGAGAGGAAGAGGGGCGAGGGCTGTGAATAGTATTCAGGGTCCTCTCCACTTCCCAAGAACACATCACAGTGCTTCTGCCCCGCAGGACACAGTCTGGAGGACTGAACCCTCCCCTAGCCTCAGGAAGGACAGCAGGGGCCCCTTCCTGGAACTAAAAACTGCAGCGGAGGTTGGCTGAGACACTCCTGCCAAGAGGGAGGAGCAGCAGCAGCATCCTGAGCCTCTGCTCCTGCCCCAAGCCTGTGCTGGGGCTCTGGGCTCCTCGCCTCCTCTCTGCCCCTTCCCAAGTCCAGGCCTCCTGCTGCCCTGCAACTCTGTGACTGCCACCTTGCCCTCTTCAACACTCCTCCCCCGCCGTGTCCCACCATCTTAACCTCTGTCTGCCAGAGTCGGTTTTCACAGCTCACAGCCAAAGATGCCTGAATGACAAGGGTCTCAGTGCAGAGCAGGATCCAGCTAAGGGGTCCTGGCCTGGGCCAATGGCTTTGCCCTAGAAAACATCTGGCCACATCTCTGCCTGGTACTTCTAAACACCATCTAGACACTCCCCACCTGGACAGCCCCTGACTGCCCCCATCAGCCTCATCTTTCCCACCATCCTGCCTCAATTCCTCACTGGGAAGAGCTCTGAATGTCAAGGCCAGCTACCCTCTCATGCCTGACCCTAGGCAGGTCCCTGGATGTCCAGTCTCAGAGGGAGAAAGCCCCCTCCTGCCCAAGCCCAAGGCCGTGACCCCACCTCCTCAGACCTCACCCCCCGCAACCCGCTGGACCTGCTTTCTCTGCAGGCTCCTTCCCCTCAGCTCACAGCCATGGTCAACTCCACCCTCAACCACCGGCCTTTAACGCCTTCCCTTTCCTGACCCTGGGCTCTGCCTGGCTATACTCCTTTTCTGGAAATGTCTCCCCTTCCCCCTCCCATGCTGGGTCTAGTGATATGAAACCAAACATCACTTCTCCTGCCTCATCCCACTCGATCCGCCCCCAGCCTTTAGACTGACCACTGCTTTCCCCTTCCTGAACCCCTCTTTGGTTAACTGAACCCAATTCCTTCCCCCACAGGCTCCTTCTAAGCCTCCTTCCCAGGATGCTCTGGCTTTACCTGCCCCGTACCTGTGGCCAACCTCAGCCTTTGGCTCTTCTTCCTCCTCACATGCATTTTCAATCCCCTCAAGACACTGGTGTCTCCCAGGTCTTCACCCAAACCTTGCCCTGGTTTCCAGACCCCTACATCCACCTGCCGGCTGCAAACACCCTTGCGTCGCAGGCACTGTTCCATGCACTGGGAACACACCGGCAAACAGGACAGATGAGCTCTCATGCAGCTTACACTCCAGTGGGAGAAAAAGGACGATGAGCAAATAAACAAGAGATTCCAGATACTAACAGACCCTTTAAAGAAAATCAAACAGGGTGATGCAACGGAGAGCAACTGGGGGGTGGGAGAACGCTTTAGAGAGAGCGGTAGGGAAGGAGGTGGTGTTTTAGCTGAGGTTTATGCGATGAGAAGGAGCAGGGGGGAGAATAGTACTCCACGCGGAGGGACCAGCAGAGGCAAAGGCCCTGAGGTAAGACTATGTCTGGTGGCGCAAGAAACAAACTGAAGGACAGCAGAGCCAGACCCCACCGGCGCTAGAGGCTATGGGGAGGAGTCTGGACTGTACTCTAGGAGCAGTGAGGAACCGCTAGAAGGTTCCAAGCAGGGCAACACCCGCGTCTGCTTGACATTAAAACAAATCTCTGGGCCTGTTTCATAGGCACTGAAGCCCTCCCCCTGACCCCCACAGGATCCAGTCCTGTCAATTCAGCCTCATGATTTTCCCTAGAGCCTTGCTCACCTTTCCCACCCCCACCACCCCAGATTTGCCCCAGCCCTCCTCCCTGGTCCCCCCACCTCCAGGCCCTGCCCCTCACCCACCCTCCCCATGGCAGCCAGGCAGATCTGCCTCCAATGGAAGAGCCAATCAGACCCATCACTCCCACACTGAAGCCCTCAGTGCTCCACGCTGCCCTAACATAACACACAAATGCTCAGCCCCAGGCCCCTGGCCTTTCACGCTCTGGCTCCCCACTCCCACTCCCCTGCAACAAACCTGGGTCTCTCATGTCTGCTCCCTCTTGGCACGAGGGGTTACCTCTGCTCACTGCTCTGCCTCAGTTCCACCCACTGCCCACTCAGCTGTCACCCTGGCTGTGTGACCCTAGGTAAAATGACTTAACCTCTCTATGCCAGTTCCTTCAGTTCCCCCATCTGTAAAATGTAGAAAATAAGAATTTTCTTTGTGGGTGTGAAAATTTAACAAATTAGAATTCACTTAATCTGCCAGATAGTCCTGAAGGCTGACTTCATTATCGCCCCCTCCCAGGCAGGAAAGCCCAGAGAGGGAGGTGACTTGCTCAAGGTCTCACAGCTAGGCCTTCTACACCCAGGCTTCCTGACTTCCCTGCTAGTACTGTCTACACGTTGTGGGCACCTGCCAGCGCTGAGCACTGCTGAGGCCCAAGGACGCCCACCACAGGCGCAAGCTCTGGCAGCACATGGGTAGGGGGGCAGTGTCACTGAGTCCCGCTGAACACAAGAGAAAGAGCCTGGCATTTTGACCCAAGGCCTCGAGAGCAAAGACTGCAGAGACGGCAGCTCTGGCAAGATGGAAAAGATGACTTGGCAGGGCTCAGGGGCACAGATGCCACCCTGGGAGGGGCACTAGTAGCACCCTTCCCTGTCAGGGGCAGCCCTACCCCAGAGCCTCGGTTTTGTCAGCTATGGAATGTTAAATTCTGTCCCCAGGGCCAGCTCGAGGGCTCTTCACAGGGGAGATCCCCCTCCCGGAGAGACTCGACTTGGCTATTGCCCCTCCCTGCCAGCAACCTCCTGGTGCAGGGCTGGGGAGAAGGGAGGGCTGTGACCCACCACCCTTTGCAAGAGCCTACGGGGAGGCACCAGGTCTGGGTGCTGGAGGGGTAAGGAGGCGGGAGGAGGGGACCCGGGCCTTGCCTTTGCCCCAGACTCTCCTCCCCAAAAGCTAGGCCGGGGGTGGGGCTCGGCACGCACCTCACAACCCAGGGTAGCCAGGGGGCTGGGCGAGAGAGGGGGCGATCCGCACCTAGCATACCCGCGGGGGTCTTCAGAGAAACACTTCCCCTTTCTCCGCCGGGCCTCGGGATTACACCGGGAGACTCCCGCCACCACCACCCCTACCCCCGCCGTAGCGGGGACCCGCCCCCCC